ACCAACCCTTCACAGGCACCTGGCATTCCCCATCCTGTCTGCTAAAGACAGAAGTTTTTAACATGATGGCATTCAATATATATCCACCAACCAGAGAAGAGATAGATTCTAATCGGACCTATATCTTTAAATAGATTACTGAAGGCCCAAAGTCCCATCAGAAGCATTTAGTTAGCTGGAAGGCCCTAGGTCATGTGTTCAGCTCTGACTGCTAAGAGGAGAGCAAGTACCTCACCATTTCTTCTTAGCAAAAAGTGGGTCTGTCTCTTGTCAGTGGGTGCATCCACCAAAATTAGGAAATGGACTCAGTACAGGGCAGCCAACAAATGACATGCATCTAGTTCACTTTCCTTTCTTGAAAATGCCATTTCTGTCTCCTTTACAGGATCTTTGCTCTCGCAGTTCCCATTTACAGCTGCTCTCCCCATTCTAATGGATCTGACCTCTTCCTGTCCTCCAGGTCTCAGCTCCTCTGACTACATCTAATGTCTGTCATCCCCAAAGTCATTCTTAACACCCTCCCTTCCTTTCTTAAATTACTTCTGTCTGACAATTACCTTGAAGACTCTTTTCCTTATGTAATATGCATCCAGAACATTCCACCAAGATGTAATATCCATGAGGACAGAGACTGTGGCTGCCCCCTTACTCAGTCCTTTCCTCAGCATAGTTCAGGAAAAGGGAGGAGTGAAGAGATGTAATGGCATCCAGACACTATCCCAACATGCTTTGCACCCATTTACTGCAGATTTATCTGCTCCCATTTCTGAAGCACCTGGATTCTGGCTTACTACCCTGACTCCACGCTTGCTTTTAGCCACCTGCAACATATTCCAGCTACTTTTTTATTCTTCTTTTATCAGTCCTTTGAATGAGTGAGGTTCCACTCCAGCCACTATCCCCTCCAACACTTTTGGCACTTTTTCTCTCATCTAGTCTCATTTTAGCATTGAGAGATGAAGGGAAAGGAGAGACATAGGGAGAGGGCAACAGGGGTCACTTGGATGTAAAGTGTGGCTACCTTCAGGAAGGACATATTTATAAGTAGGATTACAGTGGAGATAGAGAAAAGCCCTGGGAAAATTGGGGAGGGTTGGATCAGGGCCTATTATCGTTTAAATATGAGGTGTCCCCCCCAAAGCTCATATGTGAGATAATGCAAGAATTTTCAGAGGTGAAATGACTGGATTATGAGAGCTATAAGGTAGTCAGTGTATTAATCCACTTATACAGCTTAACTGGGTGGTACCTGTAGGCAGGTAGGGTGTGACTGGAGGAATCATGACACTGGGAGCATGCCTTTGGGGTTTGTAATTTGTCCCTGGTGAGTGGAGCTCTTTGCTTCCTGGTTGTCATACCCTTCCTCCATGATGGTCTGCCCCACCTCAGGCCCAGAGATACGGAGTCAGCCAGTCTTGGACTAAATCTCTGAAACCACGAGCCAAAATAAACTCTTCCTCCTCTTAAGCTGTTTTTGTCAGGTCTTTTGGTCACAGCAACAACAACAAAAAAGACCTGGCAAGAACAACAACTAGAAGCACAGAAACTACAGGAGATTTGTGAATGAGAACAAAGAACCTGGAAATACATCCTGCCTTCTAGAATTTGATCCTCAGCTGAGTAGATGGGATTTGGCATTCACAACACAACTTGATTAAATAGTTTTAAGCTTCTACTTACTTAAAACCAGTGCTGTGCTGGCTACCCACAGCAGTCAGAACGAAAAGACAAAAGCTACACCATTTATAATACCCTTGTGGCTCATAATCCAGATACTTCCTACAGTGCTCGGATCAAGTAGCTCCATGTGTTCAGCTGTGTGTATTCCCCTTTCACTGAGGGAGCTAAAATTACCTAACAGGAAAAAAAAAAAAAAAAAAACAGCACAACATGATTTGCCCTTTCTTGCCTATATGACTGCAATAATAATAGCTCATATTCATTGAGCCCTTAAAAAAGCATTGAACTAACGACTTTTCATGCATCATTTCATTGAATTCTTATAACCACTTGAAATCTGATTGTTATTACTAGCATTTACAGGTGAGGAAACTAAACCTTGGGCATGCTCCAAAGATCACACAGCTGGCTGAGGGTGAAGTTGGGATTCGTAGGAAGAGTCCTTCCACTGCTACAATTCATGCTATCTGCACAGCCTTTCCCGGATGCCTTTTTCTTTCCATTAAAATGATGCTTATTCTTCAAGGCTTTGAAAACCTCCTTTATAAAGTCAGAATTCACCTTTCTTTCCTATATACTTCTATACCAGCTCACTTGGACCAAAATTTAGCCTCATATCTCATTCTGCCTTTCATATAGTTTATCAGGTAGTCACATGCAGGAGCCATAGAGTCACTAGTTCAAGTCCAGCTACCACCTATTAATGGAGTGCACATTACTTATGAACTATTCTGAGCCTCCGTTTCTCCATCTTTTATGTAGGTGTGATAAATCCATCTTGAAAGATTATATAAAAATTAAAATGAACGCTCACGATACAGTCACCCTTTTTCTGACCCCTTCTCTGCCCTCCTCAATTGTAAGTTCTGTGAGAGAATGACCCATATTACATTCACATCTGTTTTACCATGTTAAATGATCCCTGCCTCCAACACTGACCACAGGCCTTGCCACCCTCTCAGCCTTTTTATCCATGGGTTGACTGGAACATATAAGCAAGGTGGGGCTGTAGAGAGGGTGGAAGCACATCTATTAGCTATTCTAATCCTTGTTTCCCCAGAGAGTCACCCAAGCATCACAATGTTTGTTCCATCCATGGACTAACACCATTGTTTTATTTCCTATATTTCTTCATATCACTAACTTCTAACATTGTATTGTGAAAATGTTCACAAAAGTGAAAGAATTTTACATGGCACACCCATATAGCGACTTTTTAGTTTCTAACATTTTATTATATTTGCTTGATTATGTGTCTGTCCATCCTTCTATCTTTCCATGATCTCACTTCATTTCTGATACATTTATAGGTGAGTAGATACTGGGATACTCACTACTGTTTCAGCATGCATATCATCGATTACGGTTAAATCCATTTTCCATTTTTTCATAAAATTTACCTACAAAAAGCAAAATTCTTAAACATACTATTTGATGAATTTCAATCCAAACCTCTATCAAGACATAGAACGTTACTATGACCCCAGAGAATCTTTTCATGTTGATCCTCAACCTGAGACAGCTACTGTCCTGGTGTTTTCCCTATCATTGCCTATTATGAAATTTCATATATAACTTAAGATAGCTTTTTAAAAAATAAATTTAAATTTAAAAGTCCTAACCTTGGGGTATACTCTATCAGGAAATGATTAGTAAACATCATATCAATTGCCAAAAGAACATACCAATTAATATGCACAAACAAAAAATATGGTCAAAAAATGAGCATCTGCATTCTCACCCTTGATCCACAGGGTTCAAGCACAGCTGTGATTCTCAACGTGTATTCCCAGGATCAGTGGGGCCTCCAAGACCTTTTCAAGCTCACAAGGTCAAAACTGTTTTCATCATAATCCTAGGATGTTATTTGCCTTTTCACCTGCAGTAGTACCATGGGTATAGACTGGAATTTTCCAGAGGCAACATAATGTGATCTCACACCAGGTGAAAGACGAAAGCAGTTGTAAGAATCCAGCTGTCTTCTTCCATAAGGTCATACATTAAATGGTGCTTCTCTTTTCACTAAATTTTTGTTTGGAAAAATATATATGACTTTCATATTATAATATGTGTTAATATTACATCAATAATACATAATATTATGTTAATGTGTAGAATGAATAAGTACAGCATTTAAATTTTTCTCTTAATGTTAAATTCTCATGGTAAATGTCAATAAACTTAACTCATATAAACAAAAGATCATCATTGGGGTAATAATTTTAAGAAAAAGTGTGCAGAGAATACAATGTCTAAGAACCCCCAAGTACTGCCTCATGGGAGACTCTTCTGTGGCTCCAAGAGAGGTTGATGGCAGGTCATAGGATCAGAACCTTTTGCTCTTTTCCAATCTGTTGGGGAAGCCCGTTTTCTATTCCCCCATTAGTTGTCTCTCTGCGCTCCCCCACCAGCAGCAGAGCCAGCAACAATGTCTTAGAAGATTCAGATCTCCCCACAATGCCTCCATTTGCTTTATAGTTCTCCACACACTGGCAATTAGAGTCGGGACTTTCTCCAACTGAGTGAACACAAAGGAAATTTGGGGATGCTGGAAAAGTCAGGCCCGCCCTCCTCTGAAGTTACATAAGGTCCATTGGCAAACATTAGGACCAACCCTCTCCTCTATGAGCAGACACTTAACACATACTGGCTAGAAAAACATTTTGTAACCAAGCCCTTGTGGTACTTCTTTGGATTAAAAGAAAGCCTTGGTTGTAAGATGTAAAGCTAGGTGTTTTTTGTTTTGTTTTAAAATCAAGCCACAATTCTAACCATGAGAGGAAGAAATTCATTCTGGAGAGAAATGGAATGAACAGAGGCAAGGAGAAGGAATCAGGCCATTACAAAGGGACACACCACATGTGCTTAGGAAACATTGCTTTGAGAGGGGCAGGCAAACAACAGTTCCAGCTGTGGAGACAGGTCGTTCACATTTACCTTCTCTCAAAATGATAGTTTACTAGTTCATGTTTTTTCCTATCAGCTCTGAATTGTTAAAAAAAAAAAAAATCCTACCCCATTCATATATTGCAACAACTTTCTTGTTTACCCCAACTGGAAAAGAAGAGAATCATTTCGACATTTCCAAACTGCCTTGCAAAACCTGTGCTTCTGTGCCACGTCTGTTCTAATTTATTTTTCAGTTATTTTTTTTTTTTAATGTAACAGGATAAACGACGTTTTTGCCTTCACTCCTGAAGACCTTTAGCCCAAAATGCAAAGAGGCAGCATTTAAAAGCATCATTTCCACACAGCCTATTTTTGGACTCCTTTTCCTTGATGATATATAGTTTCAGTCCACACAACTTGGAGAGGCTCACCTGGTGCCTTTGATAAGGTGACAAATGTCACAAAAGCTGGAAGCCATCTCTTCCACATGATACCAAGGTCTCCAGCTATTCTTTATCTGAAATAAGACAGATGAGAACCAGTTATTTCAAATACAAATGAGAGCCTCCTTTTATCAATTTGGCAGGATGGATTCTTGTGAAAGTGGGCTTGTTTCCTGGCCAAGGACAAAACAAAAGAGAAAAAACTTCAGCTGCAACTAGCGGGATTGTGTTAAGCATTCCATCAGTGTAAAAAATACCTTAGAAAAATCAACCTGGAAGAAGGAAAAGTTTATTTGGGCTCATGTTTTCAGTCCATGGGGTCTTGGCCTCCTGGCGAGGCAGAACAGCATGACAGGGAACACACGGTGCAGCAAAGGTGCCCAACTCATGGCGGCTTGCAAAGAGAGAGAAAGAGGCGAGGGTCCTAACAGGCCCTCAAGGGCACGTCCCAGTGACCTCACTTCCTTCCACCAGGCCCCACCTCCTAAAGGTTTCACCACCTTCTAATGGTTCCACAGGATGGCAACCAGGCCTTTAGTAGACATTCAAGATCTAAACCACAACAAGAATTTAGGCTGTATGCTGGGCACAACTTCTGTGTGTCCATGTTACCCAGCAACTGAAGAATGAGCCCAGCAAAGATCATTGGATGTCTCACCCAGAAATGGAAGGGTACCCACCAAGTTCAGATGAGAGACAGATCCAGTGTTAGCTACCCAGAGCTTCTGATTGGCAGCCAAAGCCAAGAGTATCAGTGACAAAGAGATAAAAGGAGAAAACATGGAATCCTGAGGTGTGGGGGAAAATGCATGCTCTAGCAGACCCTTTCCTTCATCACTTTACCTTCCCTCATCAAAATCAGAGATGTGGAAAACTTTGAAATTCCCAAGGGGAAAATATTATGGAAGAGAGCAAATCAAAAACAAACTGTAGGATGATGAGGCTAACAAGAAACCTTGGAGAACAGAAATCCATGAGGATTTTTAAGTCATTTGCTTTAGAGTATGCCACAGAACAAACCTTTCATTCTGATATAAATCAGTGGAGCAGATCTATTAGGCTACTGCTGCTCTTGTGAAAGTAGGACCTTGAAGGAACTCAAAGGTGTCATGAGATCTGTACCCAGGCTGGTTCCCAGAGAATGCAAAATTAGCTCTGTGGACAAAGATAATATACAAAGGGACAGATGCCCTCTGGGTGCACTCTGCTAAGGCAATTAAGAGAAACCTTTAGTCTCATTAAAGGCAGCTCTCAAAGTTAGAATAGAGGCCACCTGCGTGTTCAGAATGAAGACTGCTGCCTCTAAGACTTCAGTCTTTCTCTCTCCCTCCCCTGCCCTCTGCAGCTTCCCAATTCATACTACCCAAGAGGCAACAGAAAGAGTTCAGAAAATCAGTCACACAGGTGAGCTGCCCAGTAGGGCAGGCTTCCAAATCAGAGGGCTTAATTTTATGAGTTGAAGTTAAATTACCTGGCACATCTCTTAAGGTAGGAGTCACTGTCGGTTGAGGCGGACCATGTCAGAGAGTCAGACTGGTTGCTCCATCCACAGTGAAAGAGTTGGAGGAACCCAGCAAGGTGATGTCAGTCAGATGCAATAAAAGCCAAAGGGGTGGGGGCTGTTTATGAGACTTTTGATTAAATTCAGCAGTGCTAAAAGGACTGAAAGACTTTCATAGGCATTCATGAGTGAGAACTGCTTTGTCTAACTTTGGCTTCTAGAAAAGCAAAATTCCAACTTGGATTAAGCCTCTGTATTAAAACAGATTCACGAATACTATGACATCTGATCCTCCCAAGATCCTGCCCTCTTTCTTTCTGTCTTGCACTGGTAAGCTGTTCTCTCACACCAAGAAGTTGTAAAGGAGAAAGCAACCTGAGTTCTCAGTGGGACTGTCTGCAGGATGGAATTTATGAGTTCATGTTCGATTCCATGCTATACCTTCACTATGAGATTCAGCCTAGTTTGGGAGAATTTTTAGGTCAATTTTGTTTTGTTATGGTCTTTTCTTTCAGCCATCAGTAACAATTTCAATGGGTCAGACAAATTGTTCAATGGATTTAACCTGGCTATTTATAGTGGTTTTAAGGCACTCTCCACCTTGGCTCACACTGGAATCATCTAAAAGCCCTTTTTATTTTATTTTGTTTTTAACTCTGACACATGGGTCTCACCTTCAGTGATTTTGATTTAATTGGTGTGGGTTATGTTTTGGGCATAGGATGTTTTAAAATCTCTGCAGGTGATTCCAATGTGTAGTCAAGCTTAAAATCTACTGGATATAAGCAATGATTCTCAAATTTAGCATGCCTTAAAATTGCCCCTAGTAGACTTGATTACAGAGCCCTACTCCCAGGGACTGGGTGCAGGTGAGGCCCCAGTTCTGACAACTCCCCAAACAATGCTGATGCCCCTGGCCTGGTTTCCATCCTTGGTAAATCATTGGCTTAAAGCATGACTGCAAAGAATGCTTTAAGAAGCTGATATCCAATAATGACAATATCCAGTGGAACAAGAAATAGCCTTCCTATCCCTCAGATTTCATGGAAGTTTTAGTGTCCTGAGCTTGTTCTTATGTGTGTCAAGAGAAAGGACCAGACTGTGACAATGGGTACCTAGGAAATGGAACAAGTCTTATCTTCTGGATTTTCTGAACTTATTTCTTTTTTTATATGTCTTTCCAACTCAAAAGGTGCATGAGTCTGTGTACCTGTTCTCCAGGTTTCCATAGAAGTATTGGCTGTGACTCAGCCAAGACCAATGCTGAATACTACTCTAGACTTTGAAACCTTCTAACTTGACTTAAAAGTGAGTAACAGGGGTATCTATGAAAGTGCAGTGTCTTTGGGCCCACCTCTAGAACCTGCCTAGACTGGCCAGAGCAATATGAAGGGATAAAGAATGTCCCCCATGCAGTATATATCCATCTATGCAGAAGAGACAGAAGCTGCAGAGGTACATACAGATCATGCTCCAGTGCCCTGGCTTTAGACTAAGGCTGTCTCAGACAATCTGGGATAACAATGGGTGGCAGAGGCCCCAGTAAGGAACTGATATTCTGAAATGCAGGGTCTCCAAATCATTAATTTATAAAGTCAGAGGAATATGACTTACAGCTTTGCTTTTTTCCAAACTGAGGAAAGTAGTCATGCAAGTTGCATGTACATGAGACAAGAAGAAGCCTTTCCTTAATATTCTTCCTACTGAAGAAGGATTACATAACACTTTAAAACCATATCTGTGGAATCTCATTTGATCTACTTAAAACTGTAAGGCAGACGATTTAGTTGGTGCAATCATGTCACATATTTGGGATGAGGAAACAGAGACACAGATGTTATAGGCCAGGCTCTATGAGCAATGACCAAAGAGACTCCATTTTAACCTGAGACTCCCCATCATGTAGGAAATGCTTCTTCCCTGGGAAAGCCTGCCTCTGTACCCATTAATAGTTAACTAGCTTGGCATATTTGACAACACAAAAGAGCAATTCTTATACTTGTAAAATTGTTCTCTTTGGGTTCCACTTTTCTTGGGCAATGTACCTTGTCAGAGATTGATTGTCTAGACATTAGTAACCATTCTCTAAGGTGTACTGAACTAGGGTCATTTTGACACCCTTCCCTTTTGCTTGCTTGCTGCTATGACAACCTGAAAAGTTCCATGGGAAATACCAATGTACCCATTGCATTGTCTCGCTAACTGCCCAATTCAGCTTCTGTACCTGCTTGCTTGCAGCTATGTCAACCCAGTGTTTTTTGTCATTAAATATTCTGAAATGCTCAGGCTCATGGCTGTTCCTTGCAGAGACAGTTATGGGTCTTGTGGGGAGCAGTCGCAGACCAGCTGGCTAAATAAAGACTCTTCAATTTGGACAAAACTGGGACTAGGTATGTTTTCTGAGTGACCTGCCCCACAAAACAGAGAGGTCACACAATTAATTTAGTGCCTTCATTAGGGCAGAATTTTCTGGTTTCCATTCCATGTGGAGGGATTTAGGAGCCTCAGAGACTGCTTTGGAGGTCACAGGGAAGTACGCATGCAAATATCCTGATCCATTCTAGTCAGAAAACTCTCCTTGGGTCTAAGATTATATTTCAGATATTTTTGATGGCATACCCAGAACCCTAGACTCTGACAACTGTATGTCACCTCTCCACAGCCCATCTTCAAAAAAAAAAAAAAAAAACAGGATATTGTAGAGGATTTTTCTAAGATAGTTCTCCATTTCATTTTGAAACAGTTGCCTAATCAGATTTCAGTGTGCAACCAGAATCACCTGGAGGGCTTGTTAAAACACAGGTTTCTGGGTTTCATCCCCAGAATTTCTGATTCAGTACTTATTATGGTTAGGATATTAGGTGTCCCCCAAAAGCACATGTGTGAGACAATGCAAGAAGATTTAGAGGTGAGATGATTGGGTTATGAGAGCCTTAACCCAATCAGTGAATTAATCCCCTGATAGGGATTAACTGAATGGTAACTAAGGCAGGTAGGGTGTGGCTGGAGGAGGGGGTCATTGAGGGTTTGCCTTTTAGGTATATACGTTTTGTATCTAGTAAGTGGAATCACTTTCTCTCTGCTCCCTGGTATGATGTCTTGAGCCACTTTCCTTTACCACACTCTTCCGCCATGATGTTCTGCCTCATCTGGAGCCCAAGGAATGGAGCCAGCTTCTTATGGATTGAGTTTTCTGAAACCATGAGCCACCAAATAAACTTTTCCTCTTCTAATTGTTCTTGTCAGGTCTTTTGGTCATAGCAATGAAAAAGCTGACTAAAACAGTAAGTCCGGGGTAGGTCCTGAGAATTTGTATTTCTAAACTGTTCCTAGGTACTGGTGCTGCTGTTGCTGTTTGGAGACCTCTCTCTGAGAGTTGTTAAAATAAGACAGTGATTCTCAGCCCTGGCTGTGTATTAGAATCACTCAGAGACCTTTTAGAAACTGAAGATAACAGGTTCCAGTCAGACCAATTAAATTAGACTCTGCAGGCAAAGTCTGAGCACTGATGTTTTAAAAAATGGTCTCTAGGTACAGTTAAGGCTTAAGACCTCTGCAATCAGGGGAACCCTAAGTAGAATTATAAGATTTTCAAATCTCTAGGTCAGGGGTTCTCAAATGTAGTTCTAGGGTCAGTTGTACCAGCATCACCGGGGGAACTTGTCAAAAGGGCAAATTCTCAGGTCCCATGTCAAACCTAGAGTCAGAAACCCTTGAGGGTGGGCCCAGCCATCTGTTTTAACAAACTCACCAGGTCAATCTGAGTCCTGCTAAAGTTTAAGAAATACTACTATGAGCCCCTTGGTTTCCTTGCAAATGACTCCCTGGAAGCTGGATTCTTATCTAGGGCCACTACCTGTGTCAGGGCTCACAGCAGGCTGGATGCTCCAACTTCTCAGTCAGTAGTAAGGGTGGTTGAAGGACGAGGAAGGAGACAATTTATCAGGCTGTCAGGGAGGTACCATGACATGCTGCTAATGTCCTTTCTTTTTTGGGACATCTGGTTTCTAAGTTCCGTTGAGGTTAGTTCAGCAAATGACTTTGTAATGTGTCCATCCTTATATATTCAGATGCAGGAACAGCTTCCGGCAACATTGGCATACAGATGAAACTAAGCCTGGGTCTTCTTCATTTGTGTCTCTCAGTTCTCCTCTTCCAAGTTCCATCCACTACCACTGATTTTCCATAGATGTTGTTATTGGGGCCATCATTACTATTCCTGCCCTGGAGGACAGATCAATGAAGCAACTGATTAAACTTAAACATTACACTACCTCCTGAGAGTATATTCATTCCAAAAGAAGACACTTGGGATGGGCAATACTTAACACAGTAGACCATCTTTAAAGATGGAATATTGGACACTTGATCTAATTGAGAAACAGATCGTATCACTTAGATAATTTCCTATTTCTTTGGCACTAAGCTCTCTGTATCCCAGATTTTCTATATCTCAGCCCCCCTTTGCCCTCTGTTTCCTAAATATAAGCCACGCACTGGATTGCAAAAATGGCCAAAAATTCTACCCCTTCCATCAAAAGATGAGACCCATTTTAGCAACTCTTAAATCTAGGTCTGTCCTGGGACTGACTTTGCTGTTGGGACGTTAGAAACCACGACATGCAGGGAGAGATTTGAAAAACGCTTGAGCACCATGGCTTGCTTTCTTGATGAAAATGCCATGTAAATAAGCCCACATGGTGGCTTGGGGATGAGAGGCCATGCAAAGGGGAACTAATACTCTTCCAGCTGTAAGTGAGGTCATCCTAGATCATCCAACACATCACTTCCCCAAATGACCACAGAGAATCAAGCCCAGCAGAGGCTAGCCAACCTGGCCCAGGCAGAACCACCTAGCTGACCCCCAGAACTGTGAACTGAATAAATTGTTCTTGTTCAAATCCACTTATGTTTGGACTGTTTATTATGCAGCAAAAGCAGATACACTTGATTACACCAAAGATTATCTTAATCACATCTAAAGATTACCTAGAAAGAGAACTCTTCTCCAAAGTGTTAATCCCTCTGGGATGCCTTCCCTGAACATCTGTCCCCCATGTATT